GTCCCCCCACTAAAGGACCTGGTCCTACAGTTCTCCAATCTCAGGTTCCGGTTCGAATTCAGCCTTTCATGTGATAGTTTTGTTTTATTTATAAATTATACAAATAATTAATAATTTTATTATAATTTTTTTTTTTATTAAGATAGAAAATACCAAAAGAAAAGAAAAGAAAGAAAGAAAAGAAAGATGAAAAAAAAAGTTACCTACTCTTGAATATATTTTTAGAAACATATCCAGAACCTAAAAAGTTTGATAATGAATTTGCAAAAGAGAGGTTTAATAGATTAAAAAGAAAAAAACAAGCTAAATATATGCATTATCAAAAATTAAACCAAGGCATTGCAGGACCTTCAACAAGAACAAGATTTCAAACTTCTAAAGTATCTTCAGACTTAAGAGCAAAAACAAAAGGAGGACAAAGAGATAGACAATGAGAATATAGAGCTTCTTTGAGTGAAGCAAAAAAGAAAAAATAAAAGAAAAAAATAGAAAAAGAGAAAGAGAAAAATATAAAAAAAAAAACAAGAACAATTTGAACAATTTTATAAAATAGAATATTGTAGCTTAGATGAATATTAGGAGGAGGTTGAGGATAATAGTGAAGATGATGATAATGGAAATAATGATAGAGATAATGATAGAGATGATGGTGAAAATAATAATGGAGATGATAATGGAGATGATGATGGGGATGATAGTGAGAATAATAGTAAAGATGATAATGATGATAATGATAATGACAATGATGATAAAGATGATAAAAAGAACAATGGGGGCATAGTGTGGGGAAAATGAACATTGAATGTGAATATTGTGGGGCATTAAGATGGAAGAGAGAAAAATTAGGACTTTGTTGCATAAATAGTGAAGTTATATTAGCACCACTTCAATTACCACTACCAGAAATTTATTATTTTCTTACAGAAAAAGAACAAGTACTATTTGTTAACAAAATAAGAGTATATAATCAAGTATTTGCTTTTATATCAATTGCTACTGATTTAGATTTGGATTTTGCTAATAAAAAAAAGAAGGCCTATTGCTATAGAATTTAGGGTGATCATTATCATCAAATTAGCTTAGCTTTGCCAGAACAAAGGGAAATACCAAAATTTTTTCAAATATATTTTTATGATTCTTCAGATATTGAAGTACAAATTGATAGAAGATATAAAGTAATGAAGCAATCATTAAACAGGGATATGATAATTAATATCCAAAATGTATTAATAGATTTAAATCCTTTTGTAAACACTTATATATCTGCAAGAAATAAAGATTTAAAAGATTCTCTGTATTATATTTTAATATATAATAAGCATAGCAAAGATATGAGACAATATAATACACCACTGGCTAAAGAAGTAGCTGCAATTTGTTTTTTTAATGAAAATATGCATGTAAGAGATATTCTTATTGTAAGACATAATGACGAATTAAAAAAAATATCTGAATTACATAGTGCATATGGGCTGCTGTCAATAGAAATAAGGCAAATTGACATTTTAAAAAAATTTAATGCCTTAACTTTCACAGTTCATATCTCGATGGATTTTGAAGCTATCTTAATTATTTAATAGTCAAAAGAAAGCTTATGATCTAAGCTTTTTTTGAATACTAAACCATTAAGATAGCCTCAAAGTTCATCAAGATATAGGTTGCGAAAGTTAAGGCATTGATTTTTTTTAAAATGTCAATCTGCCTTATTCTATTAATGGCAGCCCATATGATCCTTTAGCATATCCTTTGCTATTTCTACATGGAGAATATAATTGGCATAAAGGAATATTAAAAAGGAATAAAATCGTATTAGTTAGTGATAATGATGATGATAATAATAATAATTATGATGAACCAAATTATTTGTACTGGACTAAACAAAAAATAAAGGCCCAAGCAAAAGAAAGAGAAGAAAAAAAATAAATAAATAAAACAAAACATTTATTAAGTAAATAATATAAATTTTTAAAATCTTTGCTTTATTGTAAATTTTTTACCTTCTTTTTAAATTTTACATATTTTAATAAATTTGTAAATTTAATATTAATTTATAATAGTTTAATTAAAATTTTTATTAAACTTACTATTATTTAATTTATTTAATATGTTTTTAAAATCTATAATATAATAATTTATTAGTTTGACAAAAAAATTAGTATAAAATTTAATAAAAATTAAGTGTTTTTTTTTTTTAAGAAAAAAGGTTTTAAAAAAGTTAAAAAATATTTTTTCTGAAGGTTTGATACAAAACATATCTGTAGATTACATGAATTTTAGTACATTATGCCAATTTCAGTACATTACACCGATATGTTATATTATGCTGATTTATAACATTACGCTGATTTTATCTATTTTTATTTATTTGTTTTTAATTAATAATTAATTAATTATTAATTAATTAATTAATTAATTAATTAATTTTTTTAAAAAAAATATATGTTATATCATGTATATGGTCACGTGACCCCAATTTGGGTCACCAATCATTTTTGTGGGAATTCGAATTTTTGTAAGTCATGTGACTTGCTATTTGGTTGAAGTTTCAAACTCCATTTTAGCAGAGTTTGAAACTCCTCCAATTTTGCAAGAATGCAAAATCTGAAGTCATATGACTTCATCATCACACGATTGAACTTTAAATTTTCTATTATACACTTCTACTTTTTTGGGCTTTCTTGCTTTTTTCTCTTCACTCTTTTATTTCTCTTTTACTACTCACTCTTATCCTCTTTCTCTCTTCTCAATCCCCACTTCACTCACTCTACTATTACTAGTCACACAATGTGGCATTATACTCCTTATTTTCCTATATTATTTTTCCATTAACTATTTCAAGCCAACTTCAAGCTAGGATTGGTTGGAGCAATCTACTATTACATGTCCCACCATGTAATTATTTTCTGTAATTTTCCTTCAATTAGTACATATTGAC